ATGGGAGAGCCTGGTGGTGGTGGTGCACATCTTTAATCCCAGCACTTGGGAGGCAGAAGTAGGCAAATCTCTTTGAGTGTGAGGCCTCTACTGAGTGAGTTCCCAGGCAGGCTTCAAAGCTACAGAGAAATCCTATGTTACACCCCTGTCCCCAAAAAGGATAATTTCATGGAGCTGGTTTCTAAGTTTATCTCAGGGAATGGAACAGAGATTGTGGGAACCAAGGTTTGTGACTACATGACTTAAATTCTCTCACTGGAGGTCCCATAGAGTCACCCAATGAGTCAAGGGACAAGGCAGGCTTTTAAATGTCCACAGTCCTTGTGGGACAAATAGATCCAATTATGAAGCATGTCTCAGCATATATTCCATCAAGACTATGTATCCAAATTAAGTCATCTTTCTCACCACCCACGGTTACATGTGCCTATAAGACTGAGATGTTATCATGAGATTACATATACACGTTACATGAGATTACACCCTACAGTGCAGGTATAGGGGGTACAGGTCTTGTCTGGACAGGACTAACCTCCGTCAGATTCTCATTCCTCATTGTCTGAACACTAGCCGTCACCTGCTGTAACTCTCATGGCCCCTGAAAATGTCCTCTTCTTCCTTCCTTTTTCCCCTTTAGACCTCGTCTTTGCCCCCTCACAGCCCCTTGCATACTATATATATATATATGCTTTAGATATAGGTTGTACATATGAGAGGAAAACATTAATACTTGTTTTTCTGAGTCTTTAGTTATGTTTACTATTCCACAAATTTTCCTGAAAATGTCATAATTTCATTCTTCTTTACAGCTGAATAAAATTCCAGTGCCCCCCACCCTGTGTGTGTGTGATATCACATTTTCTTTATCAACTTGTCTACAGATGAACCTCTATGAGGGCCCTGTATCTTGTCTATTGTAACTAGTATAGCAGTTATGGCAGATATGAACATATTTCTGTGGAATGCTGACTTCAAATCTGGGTCAACTGTGGAGGCACAGGCCTGAAATCCCAGCTGTTGGAAAGTGGAGGCAGAGGATCATGAGGTCAGGGTTCCCCTGGCTGTATATCAAGTTGGAGGCCAGCTTAGCTGGCATGAGACCTTACAACAAGACAAGACAAAACAACCCTTTTCAGATCCACACCCGGGCTGGAGTGATTCATCTGGATGATACAGATATTCTAGCTTTAGTTTTCTGAACCCCCGTACTGATTTCTACAGGGGCTGCCCCACTTTACACATTCACATGGGCTCCACTCTTTAGCCCACCAACTCTTCTAGCCCACTGCACTGGGACCCTTCCTGCCTCCCGGCTGGGCCATGGGAACACGGTGGCCACATCTGGGTCTGTCCAGATGTCAGTAGCAGCTGTCGATATCTGAGTGTGCAGCCACAGGAGCCCAGGCCATCTGAGGTCCTATGACTGAGAAGTGTCCTTCTCAGGCTGGGCAGCTCAAGGTCGGGCTAATCACTACTCTACAGTCTAGATTCTCTGTTCCTTCTGCTAGTCCCTAATGCTGTGATGAGTCTCAGGATCCAGAACCAGACTGACAGATCCATCACCTTGAGCTGGACAGCACCAATGGGTTCCCGTGATCCCAGCTACACCTACTGGATCTCATGGACTTTGGAGAACAATTCTGTCACCGGAGTAGAACACACCAATGACACTAATATCACATTAGAGACCCTGGAACCTGGGAGCTGGTACAACTTCACTGTCTGGGCTGAGAGGAACAAAGTCGGAGGTTATCACAGTAGTGTTCGTGGACCTACTGGTAAGGCTTGGTCCAGTTCTGATCACAGCACTATTGGGATGTTATTATATTAATATTATATATAATGTTATATTATATATAGTCTGTGATATATATCATAGTCTGTGTAGGGTAATATAAAATATATAATCATATTTATTAATAGTATATCATATACAAACATATAATGATTATATATTACATAGTTAACATATTAATATTATATCATATGTTATATTATACACATAATGCACATTGTGTAATATATGTTAATATTAACATATCAATATATTAATACAATATAAGTATATAATTATAAAATTAATTTGGCATAGCATTATATATAATATAATATATTAATGTGTATAATATAATATATCAATAATAACATAATATAATATATAATATATGATAATATATTAAATGGAATATAATATAATAAAATAATCTATACTGTTATCTAATATATTAAGATATAATATCTTAATATATTATATGCTAATATAATGTGTAATATTATATATCCCTCCACAGACTGTGACACATACATGTAACTAAAATATTTCTAAAGTGAAAAATGTGAGTGGACTACAAATTCCATAATTTCATGAGGTTGGAACTTTATACATTCAGTAATACAGAGTCCAAGACATTGTGGGGGTTTGTAGTCTGGGAGGACTTTAGTCTTTTGGGGACAAGAGAAGATGAGGTGTTTGAGTCTGGAGTGGAAGAGAGTGGGCACGCAGGTGAATGGCTCATCCTGATGATTTCTCTTGCTTTCTCTACTCAGTCCCAGCTGCTGTCAGCAACCCCTCCTGTGTCAGCACCTCTGGGGGCTACGGGGTCATTCTGACCTGGTCCTGCCCATCTGGAGGTTATGACACCTTTAAGGTGGAAGTGGGCGGACAACAGAAAAACCTGTCTTTCTGTGGGAAGGGCATGTCTGTGTCAGATCTTGGGCCAGCTCAGTCTTACACGGCCACCATCACAACTGTTTTGGATATTTTGAAGGCCTCACCCGTCTCTGTGACCTGCCACACAGAGAGTGTAGGTGAGTGGAGCCCTGGGGACAAGCCTTCAGAGATCGCCAGAAAGGGAGGCCATGGGTTTTTTGTTTGTTGTTACTTTTTGTTTTGTATTTTTGTTTATTGTTATTTGTTGTGTTTTGTTTTGGTCTGTCTGGTTTTTGTTTTCTGACATCTCCCTCTCTGTCCTTTCTCTCTGAGTCTGTACGTGTGTGTGCAACTTCATGTACACAAACATGTATGCATGCACGTGGCCAGAGGACAGTCTTGGGTGTCGTTCATGTATCATCTACATTACAATAGTTTTCTAACATTTACTCATTTATTTTTCTTTATTTGTGTGTGTGTCACGTTGCACATGTAGAGGTCAGAAAACAAATTGCAGGAGTCAGGTGTTTCCTTCTGCCATGTGGTCATGGGGACCCAACTCCACGTCTTAGGCCTGGTGGCCAGCACCTCAGCCCCTGACCCATCTCACAGTTCTACATAGTTTTTTCCTTTTTGAGAAGTAGTCTCTCATTGATTGAAACTGACGAAGTGGGGTTGTGCTGGTTGGGGGATCTGCATGTCTCTGCTGCCCCAGACAGATAGTATAGGCACGTGTCAGCATCTGGTGTGTTCTGAGATAGTATAGGCACACGTCAACATGCCTGGTGTGGTCTGAGATAGTATAGGCACACGCCAGCATCTGGTGTGCTCTGAGATAGTATAGGCATGTGCCAGCATCTGGTGTGCTCTGAGATAGTATAGGCACGTGCCACCATCTGGTGTAGTTTGAGATAGTATAGGTGCATGCCAGCATCTGGTATGTTCTGAGGTAGTATGCCTGGTGAGTTCTGAGCCCTAACTCAGTCCTCACGCTTGCAGGGCAAGCACTTTACCGATTGAACCGACTCCCTAGCCCTCCTGATTTTCTTAAAACAGTTTTCTGAAGATAAAATCCATTGGACGTACAACTCATTCACTTGAAGTCACCAAACAACTTGATGCTAGACAGTGTATTTCCAATGCCATTGCAGCTTTCATTACCATTTATTTGGGAATAATTTTTTTAAATTAAAAAATACTTATTTTGGGTTGGAGAGATGGCTCAGCGGTTAAGAGCACTGGCTGCTCTTCCAGAGGTCCTGAGTTCAATTTCCAGCAACCACATGGTGGCTCATGACCATCTGTAATAAGGTCTGGCACCCTCTTCTGGCCTGCAGGCATATGTGCAGACAACATTGTATACATAATAAATAAATCTTAAAAAAAAGAAAAGTACTTATTTTTTTCTGTATAGATGTTTTTGCCTTGAGGAGTGTATGTGTACCATTCACATGCAGTATCCTTAGAGGCCAGAACAGGGCCTCAGATTCCCTAAAACTGGTGTTACAAATGGTTGTGGGCTGCCATGGGGTACTGGAAGTTGAACCCAGATCCTCTAGAAGAACAGCTGATGCTTTTAATCTTGAGCCACATCTATCCAGCTGCATTCTCTACTTTACCTTAGTAGATTTTTATCTCTAATCTTTCTTTTAAATTTTTTATTACATTTATTTATTTGTCTTTGGGGGGAGGCACACACATACCACTATCCCTGTATGGAAGTCAAGGACAACTTGCTAGAGTCAGATGTTTCCTTTACCATGTGGGTCCTGTCACTGGGCTTGGCAGCAAGCACCTTTATCCCCTGAGCCATCTTGCTAGCCCTACCATGACCTCTTTGGATGTATCTTTCACTCTGTAGATGGAAGTTTCTGTCCCTTCCAGTCCTGTAACTATTCAGTCCCAAAGAAACACACAGAGGCTTATATTAATTATAAACTGTTTGGCCTATTAGCTCAGGCTTACTAACTATCTCTTACAACTTATATTAACCCATAATTCTTGCCTATGATTAACCATGTGGCTTGGTACCTTTTCTCAGTAAGACATTCTCATCCTGCTTCCATTGTGTCTGGCTGGTGGCTGCATCTCTGCCTTTCCTCTTCCCAGAATTCTCCTAGTCTGGTTGCCCTGCCTATACTTCCTGCCTGGCTACTGGCCAATCAGCATTTTATTAAACCTATATGAGTGACAAATCTTTACAGTGCACAAGAGCATTTTCCCACAGCACTGTCCTCTTTGTCTCTTCCTAGAAATCGGGGATTCTAGTAATACTAGGTGACCATCCTGGAGAAACAGTGGAAGTGGATGCAATGTTAAATGTATGTTTCTTGAACTTTGCTTTTCCCGGCTCTGTTGCTTGGGAGGGTTTCTCCCTTAGCAAACTAGCATCCTGGAGGGGACAAAGTGTCTGGTCAAATTATGGACCAAATTGGTGAGGTACACAAGTCCTCACAAAGGATGTATCTTCCTCCTGGAGTCTGTTGACCCCCAACTCTATACAGCCAAGATTGCCAGGAAGCTGCAGCCTCCAGCTTCCACACTGATGGAACTTTGGCTATCTAAGGACAGATCCTAGGAGAGCTGTGCCCATCAGAGCTGGGAACAAGCAAGTTCTTGAGTACTACCAGACATCAGCCGAGCTCCACTGCTCAGCACCCTTCCGCTGGCAAGCAAATCTCTGAGAAAACCAAGTCCTTCTCCTAAGGAGAACTGATGCCATGAAGATGAGGGAGTGTGTAATGGTTGGTTTTAACTGTCAACTTGCCACAGTCAGAGCCACTTGGAAGGAATAATCAGGATGGGTCTGCCTAGATTAGGCAAGTCCATGCATCCTTGGGTGGTTGTCTTGATTACCAGGAAGCCCCCTGCCCACTGTGGGTGGCACTGGTCCCTGAGTAGGGAATCCTGGATTGTATAGGCAGGGAAGTAATACACTGAACACTGACATGCCTTAATTCACTATCCTCCGTTCTCAACTGGGGATGCAGCGTGACTAGCTACTTCAAGTTCATGCTGTCAAGACTTCCCCATGGGGATGGATTGGAAACCAGGATGGTGAACCAGATAAGTCCATTGTCTTCTAAGTTGCTTTTTGTTGTCGCTGTTGTTTTTTGAGACAGGGTTTCTCTGTGTAGCCCTGGTTGTCCAGGAACTCACTGTGTAGACCAGGCTGGCCTTGAACTCTCAGGAAATCATTTGCCTCTGTCTCCTGAGTGCTGGGGTTGAAGGAGTGAGTCACCACGCCCAGCTAAGAAGACTTAGTGCTTTTGTTGAGTTTTGTTCCCAATCTTTCATGGAACTCCATGGGCATCTCCAGGGCATCTGATGTCCTCTTCTGATCTCTAAGGGACCTGTTCTCTCTCTCTCTCTCTCTCTCTCTCTCTCTCTCTCTCTCTCTCTCTCTCTCTCACACACACACACACACACACACACACACAGAGAGGTTGTTATCATCATCATCATCATCATCATCTCTCTGCTTTTCACTGTAGGGGTCATTGTGGGAGCCATCGTGGGCATCCTCTTGCTTTTCATCCTTGTGGGCCTCCTGATTTTCTTCTTGAAGAGAAGGTGAGACTTGGAACAAGACTGGTGGTGGGTGTTTGACTAGTGGGAGCCCAGAAGGGAAGATGAGGATCCCTGGTCCTGGGCTCAAGTTGGAGTTTTACACCCCAGTGTCTTTCTTCCAGAAGAAAGAAGAGCCAGCAGAAGGAAACGCCCAAGGATCTGGTGTTCAGGTGAGTGGGTGGAGGGGAGCATCTGAGAAAATCACTGTCAGGTAAGGCAAGGGGGCATTTGCTGCTCCCTGGATAGGTCAGAGGGCAAACCAAGCCTCAGAGGGGATTGTGAGCCCCTGAAACGGGCCATAGCTGGTTCTTGAGACCCAGCCTAGAGTTAATTCTTTTTTTCTTTAAAAACTTTATTTATTATTCTATGAGAATTTCATACATATACACAATGTAGTTTGATCATATTCAGCCTAATTTTGAATTTTATTTATTTTATGTGTGTTGGCGGAAGTTTCTATCTAGCAAGCTGATCCCAAGTAACCACACAGAGGCTTAATATTAATTTTAAATACTTGGTCAATAGCTTAGGCTTGTTACAAGCTAGCTCTTACATTTAAATTAACCCATATTTCTTATCTATGAGTTGCCATGTTGCTTGGTACCTTTTCTTAGTACAGCATACTCATCTTGCTTCTCCCTACATCTGCTGGCATCTCTGACTCTGCCCTTCTTTATCCCAGAGTCCTTAGTTTGGTTGTCCGGTCAATATTTCCTGCCTGGCTACCAGCCAGTCCTTCATCAAGCACAGTGCACAGAAGGTTTACCCCACAGCATATGGATATGCTGCCTCTGCATGCATGTTTGCTTACTACATGCAGTCTTAGTACCTGAGGGGGGCTGAAGATAGCATCAGATCCCATTAGAACTAGAGTTACATGCAGATGGCTGTGAGTGGCCACGGGGCTATGGGTGCTGGGGGATTGAACCTGAATCCACTGGAAGACCAGCCAATGCTCTCAACCACTGAGCCGTCTCTCCAGTCCCCATTCTAACTGTTTTACCTTTATGTCTTTGTGTCCACACACTACACGTGCATGTAGACCACAAGGAGGTCAGGGGACTCTTGTGGGAGCTGGAGCTGGTTCTCTCTTTCTACATGTGGGTTTTGGGGATCTAACTCAGCTTGTGTTCTAGCACCAGAAAGGGTCGAAGAGCAAGATAACATAGACTATGCTGTACATGTGGAGACAAACAGCGCAAGAAGAGAGGAGAGGAAGGTCGAGGAACACTCTAGACAGGGCATGACAACTAGAGGAGGGGCCCAGGCATGGTGGCACATGCCTTTAATCCCAGCACTCAGGAAGCAGAGGCAGGCAAATCTCTGTGAGTTCAAGGTCAGCCTGGTCTACAAAGTGAGTTCCTGGACAGCCAGGGCTGTGTCACAGAGAAACCCTGTTTTGAAACAACAGCAGCAACAGTAACAAGAACAACAAAACCAAAACAAAACAAAAGAAGAAAAAGGTGATTCAGTCATGAAGGTACTTGCTGCCACGCCTGATGACCCGAGTCCAGTCCTCACCGTGGACAGAAACATGATTCCCATAGTTGTTTACTAACCTACACACACACCCACACCAGGGCACACACACACTTCCCTACCCACACCCTAACACACACTGAATAAAATGCATAATAAAAAAAAACTGCTAGAGGAAAGCTGAAGTCAATTAAGAAGAGCATGAGCAAAGAGCTGAAGGATGTCAGAAGGGCTTGGGACAGTTCTTGGGTGTCCTGTGATGTCCGAGGAGGGGCGACACCGCGCAGCTCGACGAGTAAGTGAGGTTTTTAGGGATTACTTAGGGAGCGGAGCGCTGGGTGCCTATAGAAGTCACCAGAACACCCCGGCGGCGTACGGCCAAGCTGGAGTGGGAAGGATAGAAACCCAGGCCTTGAGCGCCACCGTGTGTGCAAACAGCAGAAGTGACTACAGGCTGTTTAAAAGAAAGACACACAGAGAGTTTGTGCATCTAGGCTTCTGCGAAGGATTCTGGCAGCCTCAGGAAATTCTGTCAGGCTACAGAAAGGATAGTTTTGCTTTCTGGAAGTTTCAGATAAAGAGCAGATAAATGGCTGCAAGGTGGAGTTACTCTGGCTAGGACTGAGACCAGTCTCTGTACACGGGGTAAGGGCTCCCCCACTATGGGGACAGGCAAGTAACAGCAGTCGGGTGCTTAGGGCACTGTGAACCTCTGAGTTTGGGTGGTGTGAACACAGGGAAGAGTGTTAGGGAGCGATGCCAGAGAGGGGTCAGGCAGGGCTCGGTGGAAGAAAGCAAGGATACCAATGTACTTCTGGGGCGGGAGGGTTTTCTGTTTAAGATTTTATTATTTTTTTTTTTATGTGCAAGAGTGCTTTGCTGCATGCTTGTGCACCATGTGTAATGCAGTGCCTGCAGAGGACAGAAAAGGGCGCTGGATCGTGCAGAACTGGAGTCGCCTTGGCTGTGAGTCATTATGTGGGTGCTGGGAATCAAAGCCAGGCCCTCAGGAAGAGCAGCCAGTGCTCTTAACTGCTGAGACATTTTGCTATCCCCATCTTCTTCCTTTTAAAGGCTGAATAATACTTCACTGTATGAGTAGACTAAATTTGCTTCATCCATTCATTTACTGATGGACACTTGGTGCTGGCTCTTGTTCTATTAAATGTTTTAAATTACATTTATGGTGTGCAAGCATGTGTGTGGTGTACACGTGTGTATAAGCATGTGTGCATGCCTGAGTGTGTGTCTACATGTGTCTGTGTGTGAAGGAGTTGGTTCTCTTTTCCACCATATGGGTCCTAGGGATCAAAGTCAGGTAGTCAAGTTTACCTATTAGTGACTTTGCCTGCTGAGCCAACTTGCTGGCCCTTGGCCCTTGTCCTGTTATTTTAGAGGCAAGGTTTCATTATGTAGTCCAGGCTAGCCTTGAACTCTTGGTGCTCCCCCTGCCTCAATATCACAAACCCTGGATTTTTATTGTGTATGACTATGCATGACCACTGATGGGCGCTTGTGTTGCTTGCACCTATGTCCTTCTGTGAGCCATGCTGCCATGAATGATGCTGAGCTGATAGCCTTGGAAATTGTTCTTTCTTTGGTGGATTTAACCAGCAGTGGCATTGCGGGATCAAAATCATTGTAACTCACTATGTAGACCAGGCTAACCTCGAACTCACAGAGATCTGCCTGCCTCTGCCTCCCAAATGCGCGGTGCTTCATTTACCTTCTTATTTTGTGGAGTGGATGTGAGGCGTGGATGTGAGAACTAACGGGAGTCAGTTCTCTCGTTCCAGCATGTGGTTACCAAGTATGGAACTCCAGCTATCCGGCTTTGTGTTAGGACCCTCTACCTGCTGAGACATCTTGCCAGCCTCAAGGTACTTAAAGTCTTTACTATTATTGTTATTATTATTTTACCTTTCTTCTCGCCACAGCGTCCCAGGGGATATCCTAGTCAAAGACTTTGCTGACCACGTCAGGGTGATGGAGAAGGACAGCAACTATGGATTTGCTGAGGAGTATCAGGTGGGTGAGAGCAGAAGCATCACAGCTGGTCCCCACATGCCCCGGCTTCCCAGGCCCTCTGGGTTGAGCTTGAAAACCGAGCCATCTCTCCCGCCCTTAACTTTTTGGATTTATTTATTTTTATTTTATGTGTGAGTGTTTTGCCTGCATGTATATACGTGTACCATGTATATGCAATGCCTACAGAGGCCATAAGAGGGTGTTGGATCCTCTGCAACTGAGCAGCCATGTGGGTGCTGGGAATTGAACCAAGGTTCTTTGTAAGAGCAGCCAGTTCTCTTAATCATTGAGCCATCTTTCCAGTTTCCGTGTGTGTGTGTGTGTGTGTGTGTGTGTGTGTGTATGTGTGTGTGCCATGTGGGACTTTCTTAGGGATCACACTTAGTCCTTAGGCTTGATTACAAGCACCTTTATCCAATGAGTCATCTTGCTGGCCTTTATAATTTATTTAGATTATATTCACCTCCCTATCCTCCTCTCTTGTCCCGTCCCCCCTCACTGGTGCTGATCTCTTTCCTTTTCCAAAGTCCTCCCTTTCTACTCCCCAACCACCGTGTGTGTGTGTGTGTGTGTGTGTGTGTGTGTGTGTGTGTGTGTGTATGTACGCACCAATGAATTGTATTAGGGCTGTTCACAGGAATATGGGTGAGGGATTACTGAGTGATCCAGCAACCACTAGCCGCCTGTAGATCGTCTATAAGCCCCACCTCCTTTTTGAGACAGGCTCTCATGTAATCCAGGCTCTCCTGGAATGTGCTATATAGCTAGAGAAGACTTTGAAGTTATGATCCTTCCCCCTGACCTCTGAAATGCTGGAATTACAGTTGTGTTCCACCGAACCTGGTTTATGCAGGGCCTTGGCCGTGCTAAGCAAGCACTCTGCCACCTGAGCCAATTCCCCAGTTTACCTCTTTCAAACTTGCAGAAACTGTCAAGCGGGTTTCTTTCCAACTCTCTGAAACCCTGAAACAATGGCGGTTATTTGTTTAAGCACAAGGACTCCCTGATGCCTTACTTCTCAGGGCATCTGTTGGAGGAAGCCTCTCGCTGACCCTAAGTCCTCACAAGTATCCCCAACATGGATGGTCATATCCTTCCAATGTTTGTGAGTGTCACAGAGTCCCAAGATTCGATGGATAGCCAGGCGGTGGTGGCATATGCTTTTAATCTCAGCACTCAGGAGGGAGAGGCAGATGGATCTCTGGGAGTTCGAGGCCAGCCTGGTCTACAGAGCAAGTTCCAGGACAGCCAGGGTTACACAGAGAAACCTGTCTTGAAAAAAAAAAAAGAAGAAAAGAAAAAGAAAGAAAAGAAAAGAAAAGAAAAAAGCCAACCAAACAGATAAACAAAAATATTCAATGGATGAACAGAGGAGGAGGATGCTAGAGGAGAGTGCATGGAGGAAAATTCAACACCTTGAACCTCTTGTCTGTCTCTCTGCCTCTAGCAATTGGCTCTGGAGGGCCAAGGCCAGGCTCAGACGACAGCATTGGCTCCAGAGAACACATCCAAGAACCGCTTCAGGAATGTACTGCCCTGTGAGTGTTTGCCACCTGCATCTGCCTCCCCATGGAGTCTGCCAGACCCCAATCCTGCTCTCTCCCTCTCCCTCTCTCTCTCTCTCTCTCTCTCTCTCTCTCTCTCTCTCTCCTTCTTCTTCTCTTCTTTTCCAGCCGCCGCCGCCGCAACAGTGTGTGTGTTTTCATGCATGTGCATGCAGGTATGTGTGGATCTGTATGTGAAAGCCAGAAATCTTCTTCAGTCACTAGCCACTTCTAATTTTGTATTTTTAAAAATTTTTATTCTGAGCCAGGCAGTGGTGGTGCATGCCTTTAATCCCAGCACTCGGGAGGCAGAGGCAGGCGGATCTCTGTGAGTTCCAGACCAGCCTGGTCTACAAGAGCTAGTTCCAGGATAGATTCCAAAGCCACAGAGAAACACTATCTCAAAAAAACAAAAACAAAAACAAGACAAAACAACAAAAAATTTATTCTCTCTCTCTCTCTCTCTCTCTCTCTCTCTCTCTGTGTGTGTGTGTGTGTGTGTGAGAGAGAGAGAGAGAGAGAGAGAGAGAGAGAGAGAGAGAGAGAGAGAGGGAGAGGTTTGTATATGGACGCCCATGGAGACCAGAAGGTTTGGATTGACTGGAGCTGAGTTATAGGTGGGTGTTGGGAACTGAACTCAGGTCGTCTCAAGAACAGCAAATGCTCTGATCCACAGAGCCATCTCCCTGGCACCATGGGTTGTTTGTTTTTGCATTTTTTATTTATTTAGAGTGGTGGTGGTGTGACATGCGTGCCACAGCCTATTGTGGAGGTCAGAGGACAGCCTGTAGGAGTCAGCTCTCTTGTTCCACCATGTGGGGACCAGGATCAAGGTCCAAGGTTCATCAGGGTTGGTGGCACCTTGCTGAGCTATCTTTCTGGACCTAATTTTGGTTTTGTTGAGACAGGGTCCCAGTCGCCCAGGTTGACATCAAACTCACTGTGTAGCCAAAGATGACCTTTAACTCTGTTCCTCCCACCTCTACCTCCCAAGTGCTTGGGTTACAGCTATCACAACACCCGGTTTTATGCAGTACTAGAGATTCAGCCCAGGGCTTCTTGCAAGCCAGGCAAATACTCTACCTAGCAGCTGAACCACATACTCAGCCCTGTCATGTTTTTGGAAACAGCATTTTTTCACTGATCTGGAACTTACTGTGTTTTGCTGGCCTGCAACCTGCGCTGTCCTCCTGTTTGCCCCCACCCCCCACCCCCTAGTGCTGGAATTACAAGCCTACTCTCCCGTGCCTGACTTTTTGATATAGGTTCTGGATCTGGACCTGAGGCCACACCTGTGCAACAAGCCGTTTACCAGCCGAGCCCCCTCGCGGTCCTTCTTTGTTTGGTTGGCTTTTGTTTTTTGTTTTCTAAGACAAGGTTTCTCTATATAACAGTCCTGGCTGTACTGGCTCTCACTCTGCAGACCAGGATGGCCTTGAACTCACAGAGATCTGCCTGCCTCTGCCTCTGTCTCCTAAGGAGTGCACCACCAATGCTTTGCTCTCCGAGCCCTGTTTTCATTGCTGATGCTGCTGTGTTCTCCTAGATGATTGGTCTCGGGTGCCCCTGAAGCCCCTTCATGATGAACCAGGCTCTGACTATATCAACGCCAGCTTCATGCCTGTAAGGTGGCAGTGGGGGGGCACTTTGTGAGTCTGGAGAGACAAAGAGCTGAAGGGGGTGCTGGTCATCCGATGACCTCTCCTTGACATGCCTGCTTTCCTCAACTAGGGTCTCTGGAGCGCCAAGGAATTTATTGCAACCCAGGGTCCCCTGCCTCACACTGTGGGTGATTTCTGGCGTCTGGTGTGGGAACAGAAGAGCCACACCCTGGTCATGCTGACCAACTGCATGGAGTCTGGACGGGTGAGAAGAGATCTCTGTCCTGGTGCTGACCACTGAGCACCAACCCTTGACTCTGCCCCACCTGGACTCTGACTTGGTGCAATCCCTTCTACACACCTCTGAATTTCTCCAACACAACTCCATCCATCTCCAACAAGGAACCATCCCCTCCACTTTCATAGTGTCCACAGATCCGTGTGTGTGTGTGTGTGTGTGTGTGTGTGTGTGTGTGTGCACGGTCCATGTTCTGCTGCTGTGAGTGATTGCCACAGATGGGATATTTTATATAGAACAAAGGTTCATGTGTCTCATACTTCTGGAGGGTGGGAAGTTCAAGATCATGATGCTGGCATCTGGGGAGAGTCTTCCTGCATCACAACAAGATGGAAAGTACCACGTGGTGAGGCACAGCCAGCATGCCGGTTCAGTTCTCTTTCTCATCATATACAATCATGAATATCATACTGAGGGTCCCTATGACCTCATCTCATCTTAGTGTCTTCCCATAGACCTCATTTCCAGATACTGTTCACCTATGAACTTGGGAATGAGGCTCTCAGTTCATAAGTTTTTAGAAGAAGCACATTCAAACTATATCAAGGTTCCACAGACCTTGAAATGAAGGAGCCCTCTTGGCTGGTGTGAATCTATTCGATCTGGCACCCCTGTGTTCTACGTTGTTGCCAGGATAGCAAGCATATCCTCACCTTGACTAGAAGAATCACTGAAGAGACCAGTACTTGCTTAATATGCATGAGGGCCTAGGTTCAATTCCCAGCCCCGTATAAACCTATGAGGTGGCACAAACCTATATAATCCAGCACTCTGGAAGATAGAGACAGGAGGACCATAAGTCAAGGTCATCTTTGATTTCAAATAAAGCCCAAGTAGGTCCTCTCAGGGGAAAAAAAACCAACATGCAAAGGTGTCTTGTTCTCAGGGGTGGGGAGACGGCTCAGTGGATAAGGGATCTAACACGTAAGCACAAGGGCCAGAGCTTGGATCCTCAGATCTGCATAAATGCCAAGCAAGCACAGTGACTCGCTTGTAATTCTAGCCCTCAGAAGGCAGAAAAATGGAGGCTCTGGGCCAAGCTGGCCAGCCAGACCAGTCATAGTGTGCAAGTTCTGTGTTCAGTGAGAGACCCAGTTTCAGCGAGTACAGTGTAGAGTGTGGTTGCGAAAGTCTTGTGACAACATTCTCAGGCATCCATACCCATATGCACACACATGTGTGTTCATTCCCACAGCGTGCTCACACACACACACACACGCACACGCACATGCCCCATTCTGCTCTCTGACTGTCCTGGTCTCCCTGCCCAGGTGAAGTGCGAGCATTACTGGCCTCTGGATGCTCAGCCCTGCACGCATGGGCAGTTGCAAGTGACACTGATGAGTGAGGAGGTGAAAGAGAACTGGACAGTGAGGGATCTTCAGCTCTTCCATGTGAGTCCCTTCAACCCCACCAAGAACACCTCAAGAGATCTCCCTGCAGTGTGTGGCCCAGAAACTCCCTCAGCAGGCATAGAAGCTTCTGGAGTCTCTACACTCTCCCTGCTCAGCCCTCATCTCCTTTCAGGTGGGAGAGCAGCAGACTCACTCTGTGCGCCAATTCCACTTCCTGGCCTGGCCAGATCATGGAGTTCCTTACTCCCCAGACTCTTTGCTGGATTTCCAAAAGGTGCTGCGGGAGTGGGTGGACCAGAGCATGGATGGGGGTCCTCCCATTGTGCATTGCAGGTGAGTGCTGCCCTGGAAGTCTCTCCATTGGAGAGTTCTGTCCCCTGTCCCCAGGAACTCAGAATCCATCACAGACATGCACACAAACGCATAATTAAAAGAAAAATACAATCTTTAAAAATCAATTAGGGGCCGGACATACACCTGTGATCCCACACTTGGGAGGCAGAGGCAGGTGGATCGACTTGGTCTACAGAGTGAATTCCAGAAGACCCAGGGCAACACAGAGAAGCCCTGTTTTGACAAACCAAAGCCAAATCAATCAAACAACAACAAACCACACACCAATTTGTTTAGGAGTTATTCCTGTGAATTTCAGCTCCACACCTTTTATTAGCTGCATGGTCTGAGTCATGTGACTTCCTCAACTTTCATGTTGCCACCTGTGAAATGGGTGTGCGGATACATCCCATTTTTATGCTTGGGAGCAGTGACAAGACCAAGCAGCGTTCACAGAACATGGAGGCAGAAACTGCTAGTCACTGTCCTTATTGTCCCACAGTCCCCACTTAAACTGCGACTTGTTGAGTGTCACACCTTCTGGGTGCTCCAAAACCATTCCATCTCAGTTGCTAGAACTCCAGACTTGCCCTTCTTCTGGAAGCCTAACCCCTGTCTTGTCCCTTGCCTAGCGCTGGTGTGGGCCGGACGGGCACCCTCATTGCATTGGACGTCCTACTCCGACAGCTGGAGTGTGAGGGGCTGGTGGGTCCCTTCAGCTTCGTGAAGAAGATGAGAGAGAGCCGGCCATTGATGGTGCAGACAGAGGTGAGGGGCTCTAAGGGGGTGTGGGCATGGTGTGGGAATGAGGTACCCTTTGGGAGAGCATTCCTCATCTCTATGCATCCCCCCAGGCCCAGTACATATTCCTCCACCAATGCATCTTGAGGTTCCTCCAGAAGTCAGCCCTCATCCTAAAGGAATCAGTCTATGAGAATGTGCCAAACTTCGTTTACGAGAATGTAGCTGCCATCAGAGCCCATGAGTCTGAGGTCTCAGCTACTGGGTGCTGAGCCTACACACAGAAATAATCAGGCTGGATATGGACCCCTTCTGAAGCCCAGAATTCTGAACCTCCAAGAGAAGTGAGGTTTGGAGTCTCAGCCTCCCCAGCCCATTGGAAAGCTATCTCCTGTTGTCCACGGACAGGATGGGACTGCTATACTTCTAATATGAACCTTGTGGGAGCTGGGAGCCTAAGGACAGGGGCAACAAGGGGATTTCCTGTTCTTTGAGTGGAGGTGGCTGTGACTGGGGCATGCAGGGTCTCAAAGAAATGGACTGGAGCCTGGATTTAGAAGAAAGAATCAGGATCTGGAATTCTGCTACCTGGTGAACAAGGGCGGGCAGGCACCTGCCCCTCCCCCGATTATTTCAGAAAATCAGTCTCCTTGAATCAGAGGCTGAAGGGAGTCCCTTTGCTTGTGGTCTCCGTGCAACCTGTGCCTGCACATTCTTTCCGTTCATATAATTTATTGAACTATTCTCCTCGAAGGTGGGTTTTTGTTTCTGGAGATAATATTGGGATAGAAGAGGGGTTCCACACATTAAAACTGGAGCAAACACATGGAGGGAACTTGAAGAGCCCATTATATTCCATCACTCACTAAAAAGTTACAGGGTTGGGGTTGGAAGGATAGCTCAGTTGGGAAAACGCTTGCTTTGCAAATTTGGGGACCTGAATTTGAGCCCCAGAACCCTGTGGAAAAATATGGGTGTGGTGGTGCTTGCTTGTAACGGTAGAAGTGAGGAGGCAGAGGTGGACAGGTCCCTTGGGCTTGATGGCCAGTCAACCTAGCCTACTCGGTGCGTTCCGGGCCAGTGATACTGTCTCTCAAGACAAGATAGACAGGGTCACTGAGTACTCAGCTGGAAATGACCCTTCCTGTAAAGCGTGGTGACCTGTGGTCAATCCCCAGGAATGCACATGGTGGTTGTAGAAAGCCAAAGCCTTCCAACTGTCCTTTGACCTCCACATGCCCACTCCTCCCCACAAGTAAATAAATGTAATTTAAGTTTTTAAAAGGTGGAAGGAAAATATGCAAAGTTGCCTTCTGATCTTCACACACATGCACACACACATGAACGTGCATCAGCATACACACGAACACACAAGTGCATGCGTGCACACATAAACAGATTCGGATGGCCAGGTCTCTCAAAGAGGGGTGAGGTACCCTCTGTGTTGGCTGCAGCCAAGGATGTAAGGGATTGGTTAAGGGGAAGTGATGTTTGAGAGCAGAAATGCTGGAAGCTCCCATTTCTTGCCTTGAGAATCTGGGTAGCTTAGTACTTGGGTCTCCTGAGGAGCTTCTCATGGGTCTTGAAACCAAGTGCTCTGGAATCTAGCTAATTGCATTGTAAAAAAGTCTGTTTTGTGTGTGTGTCTTGCGGGGGCTGGTGCTCAGTGTAGATGTCCGATGACTTAGTCAGACGTCAGAACATTCTAGGGTACTAAGATCAACGTACGTGGGCGTCATGGTGGTTCTCGGGTGTGGCGGGCCGAGGGGCGGAGCAGGGCGTTCTCCTTTCTCCGGGGCAGAACACGCACGCACACATATGCACACATTCATACACGCGCGCGCGTTCACACACAGGGGCACAGGCACCAGCCTGGCTGGACTCAGCCGCGCCCCCACCCCGCCGAGCTAGATCAGCACCGGGACAGCGCCATCCGTCCACGTGCTGGGGGCGGGGTCCCGGCAGCCCACCACTCGGCGCCTCCAGGAGGACCACCTAGCCACCTAGCAGGTAGGAGCTGTGGGCCCCTCTGACCAAGCCACATCCTCAGTCCTATTCGTAGAGGGACCGAGGTGTGTGGCAGGGGTAGGGTTGAGGGACTGGGTGGAGGGACGCTGAAAAGGATCAACTCTGAGTAGCAGGTTGAAGCCCTAACCTAGGAGATTGCTGTGTGGAGAGGAGAGACAGGTGTGGAGACAAAGAGAGAAGGTTGGTAGGCAGAAAGCAGACAGAGAGAGACAGAGAGAGAGAGAGAGAGAGAGAGAGAGAGAGAGAGAGAGAGAGAGA